CTCTTTCCACTACGCCTCCATAACATCATATGATTATATAGCAACATATATTATTATTATAGTACTTAGACCCGTATTAATATAAAAGTATATATATAAACATAATTATTTTTTATGAACATAATTTTATGTAAAATAAATTATTTAGTAGAAAAAAAAAAGACCATAACATCATATGATTATATATGCAACATATATTATTTATATAGTACTTAGACCCGTATTAATATAAAAGTATATATATAAACATAATTATTTTTTATTGAACATAATTTATGTAAAAATAAATTATTTAGTAGAAAAAAAAAGGACACCACTTTTGGTGACTAAACATAATTTTAGTCGCCAATTCTATACTTATGGCTACTAATTATTTTTCGCGCTAAAATTACCACTTTTGGCGACTAAACTTCTTTTTAGTCGCCAAAAAGCCTCACTTTCAGCTACTAAACCTGTTTTTAGTCGCCGAATGCTTCACTTCTAGCTACTAATTTTTTTTAGTCGCCAAAGGGCCTTATTTTTTGCTACTAAAATTTTTTAGTCGGCAAAAGCCTCGCTTTTGGCGACCAAATAGATTTTTAGTTGCCGAATGCCTTACTTTTGGCTACTAATTTTTTTTAGTCGCCAAAAGGCCTTACTTTTGGCTACTAAAAATTTTTTAGTCACTAAAAGCCATATATCGGCGACCAAACAGATTTTTAGTCACCAAAACCTATACTTTTGGCTACTAAATTTTTTTAGTCGCCAAAAATCTTTACTTTTGGCTACTAATGCATTTTTAGTCGCTAAATGCTATACTTTCAGCAATGAAATGTGATTTTTTAGTCGCCAGTAGTGCTTTTTCTTGTAGTGCTTGGTCATCGATGGAGGATGACATTGTTGCGTTGAATAGTGTATGTGTATGCATTACACTTGTGCTAGTTGTACTTGTCATGTTGTGATGATTGGTAACGTATACTGCGCTGAGAATAAGAGGTACCATTACCTTCCAGCTAGCGCTTGAAGAATTGGCTGCGCTTAGAATGAGAGGTACCAGTACCTTCCTGCTAGCGCCTGGAGAACTTGGCAGAGGTACCATTACCTTCTAGCTGGTGTCTAGTAAATTAGCATTTCGTTATGGAAAAGGTGTATCCTTGGCTTACCGTGCTTAAAACAGGTAGAGCAAAGCTTATTTTTCATTATTATCTTAGTGTACCTGTGTATATCATGCATTATGATGGTTATGGTTCAAGATGGCCGAGTTGTCTCATATGTTGAGTAGATAGTTATTGGGTGCTTATTGTTTTCATTTTTCGTGTTAGATGTACATCTATATATTTGAATGTGTTGGAAAATGATGTAGACCATGTGTTGAGTTCGTAAATAATGAGAAGGAAATAAGAGATTTATGAACATGTTTCAAACTCCAAAACAAAATGGTTGTTATGAGATATTTTTGAAATGGGAAATGAAAAGGAAATGTGAACTGTCTGTATTGTTGAAGGAATTGAATAAATTTGGGAAAAGTACTTATGTAAATATTCTTTGGTTATAAACTGTCACATTATTTATATAGTATGAGACTATGCATTCATGATCATAGTTATCTGTATGTTGTTATTGTTTAGAATCATGTTGAAATCCCTACTGGACTTTATGTTCATCCCACGTTGATAATCCTTTTTCAGGTGAACGTCAAAAAAGTGTTTCAAGGTCATGGATCTCCTTTACCTATTAGCCATGGGGCCTTTTATTTGTGGGCGGAATGCCATTGATGTAAAATGATTAAATCATTTCTCTTAATTTAAAAGATGTAAGCCTACAGGAAATTTATTTAATTATAACTCCCGTTGCATTCATATTGTATTCGAATGAGAGAATCTTTATTCATGTGTTCTTATAAATGTAAAGAGTTTTCGTATGTTATCTTTGAAATTGAATCTATAATAATGGCTTGGTAATGGAATTTGAGCAATAAAAAACGGGGCGTGACAGCTAGTTTTTGAACTTCAAATTTTTATTTATTTAAATTCTCATAAATTATTTTTAAACGGGTTTTTGTTTGTCTTTGTTGAATTGTTTTCATATTTTAGTTAATTTTTTATTTTTTACTTTTTAGATGTACAACTAAAAAAAAAAAGTGACTAAAATATTAAAAAAAATCACTAAGGCTTGCAATTAATTTAAAAACCGTTTTCAAAAAATGAAACCAAAAAAAAAATTTAATTTTGTCATAAAAATCAAAAGAAGGGGTTTTCTTTTGGAGATGAAAATTTTAATTTGGTAAGGAAATTTTTTTTTTGTCACAAAAAGAAGCCAAATATTTGGCGCCACACACAAAAAAAAAAAAAAACGGCGCCCAAAATTGGTGATTGGTGACAAATTATTTGGTCTTAAAAGAAAAAAAAAGATTTTTGGGCCCATTGTAGACAAAAAAAAAAAAAAAACTCACAATCTAATAAATAGAACAATTAACACATCTAAAGACAATTTCTTTTCTTTTTAGGGCTGAGAAGTTGAAGGGGTTGGATCTTCAAGACCATCAAATTTCTTTTGTCTCACTTGTTACCTCTGCTCTTTCTCTAGTTTGCTTACCATTGTAACCAACGGCAGAGGGACCGGCTCTTTGCTGAAGCATTCTTCGACAATCTGATTGGAAGGGATTCTCAAGGTACACATGTATCTCTCTTCCCCTCTCTCCCATTATGAACCCTAGCTAGCATTTAATTTTTTTCTCTAATATTTTCATTTTGTTTCTGTTGTTCGTATGTTGTTCTAATGGGTCTAAAGTGCTTGGATTTTCTTTGTTCTCTGTTAAATAAACTAAGCTATCGGTTCTGAAGGGAGATGATCCTAAGTGGCAGATTCCTTAATACACAATGGCCTACAATAAGCCAAATCATGAAATAATAAATGAATTGCAATTTTAGTTGGACCACAAACCAGCTGGGGCTGTGGTTACCATAGACAATTAGAAATTGCCAACTATAGTTGTGACAACCCCGTTTCTGTATTATACGGTTAACTCATTAATTATATGAGTGTTAATGTGCTTGATATGAAATTTGATGTTAATTATGTGTTTTATGTGATTTTTTAATGCCTATCTATTGATTGTAGACATATCTATTACAATTTCTGCTATAATCTAGAATTAAGGGCTGTAGAGACATCAAAAACCAAAATTGATTAATTTATCATGATCAGCGTAATTTTTAGAGCCTACGATGAAATTTAATTAAAAATTTATTCAGATCAAATTAATTAGATTAAATTGAATTAAATTAAGTAAGGTTGATTAGTCTTAATCATGCTTAATTAGCTTAAGCTAAGCACCCACTATATATATGTTGAGCTAGTGCCTAGGCTCATAATTTTGAGCTCATCTTCACCATTTTGTTGAGATTAAGCTATGTATAGAGAGAGAAATCTTCATCTTAGATAGAGAGGAGCTCAATCTTGAGGAATTGGCTTAGAGGATTGAAGAATTTGGAAGCCAGGCTCAAGAAATTGCTAAACCTAGCCTCATTGAAGATAGTAGGTAAGAGTTTGAACCTCAATTTGTGAGTTAAGTCATTAAATTGTGGATTTAAGAAGATAACAAGATTAAATGTGTGAATTGAACAAAGATTGTAGGAATTGAGATCAAATTGTACATGCATGCAAGTATTTGCTTTGATTCTTCAAGTTTTGGACATGAACTTTGATAATCATGTTGAATTGGGAATTGTTACTTACATGCATTCATGTTTTCTAAGTCTTAAAGGTTTGAAATACATGAATTCATGAATTGGAAGAGTTTCATACTCTTGAGCATGATCCTTGTCATCCATGTTGAATTTAGAAGATGAATATGTAGAATTTTATCATTTTGGGCTTGAATTATATGATTCATGATGAAATTGGAAGTTATATTGCACATGCATCATTGTTTCATAAGTCTTGGAAGCTTAATTTTATTTTTGGAAAGTCATGAAAAGAGTTTTGAAATTAATTCTCACATGCTTGAAGATTTGAGTTCAATTTTGGTAAATTCATAAGGTTTTGAGAAAATGATTTATGGATGATCTTGTATTGAGTTTTATAAAATGTTTTTATGATTATCAAAGTGTTTTCATGAGTTTGGAATGGCCATGCAAGCTTTTACATGTTATTTATTTTTATTTTTTTGGAACTCAAATTTGCTGTCTTGAAACCCAGAAAATTCACAGCTGGCTCAAACGACCAAGTGGTAGCACGAGCCAACATTGCGAGCTCCTAGTATTTTGCACTCTACAAAAGCTGGCTTGAGTGACCAAATGGTGGCTCGAGCAAGCTCAGTTTTTGCCTTCAGCTAGCTCTAGTGACCAAAAGTTGGCTCTAGCCAACAACTTGTTTTCAGCATGTTTTCAAAAGATGTTTTAAGCACATATCTTCATTCCCATCTCTTTCCGGATATTCTTAAGCATGAATTATGACTTCTTGAGGACCAATAAGCTAAGAAAAAAAATAAGTAAATGATTAGGAAAGAGAGGAAAGATTTATTTGATTTGAACGTTGAATTTCATCCTTTGAGCATGAACCTTGTAATCCATGTTTTTGAAAGAATTTCTAAGTATTATTTGAAATTGTGGATAAACCACGCAAGTTCATGATTTGAACACTCTTAGGCATACATTGTGCATTCTAAATGAATTAAAAGGTTTGAAAGGAGCCTAAGAGAATTAAACAAGTTAAGGAGCGGATTAAATAGCATTGTGATTCGATTTTGTGTATGTTTATGAATTGTGTAGGAGCATCCATGAAGACGAATCAACACTCCGAACACTGTGAGTAATATCTTAGTAAAGATATTTTCAAGTATGTTATCTTCCAAATGCTACTTCTGTATAAGCTTCATGGATTTGTTAATTTGAATTATGAATGAGTATTCTATATGCCTAATTTTTGTATAAGACTCTACGAAGAACACGATTTGCGCCCAAGCCTGTTTGATATGTATGAATTGGGCCTGAGGCCATTTGATATGTATGAATTAGGCCTGCTGCCATTTGATACATTTGAATATTATGATTGGCCAAAGGCCGTTTGAATATGAATGTAATAGGCCAAAGGCTGTTTGAATAAAAAGGTGATCATGATCATGAATATGAAATGCACATAGATATGAACATGAAGAGAATAGGCCTGAGGCCGTTTGATACATTCGAAGTGTTTGAATTGGGCCCAAGGCCGTTTGATATGTTTTAAGTGTTTAAATTGGGCCCAAGGCCATTTGATATGTTTGTTAAGGATCTATATGGGCCCGAGGCCGTTTGATATGTACAACAAAAACACAGAATGGGCCCAAGGCCGTTTGTATATGAAATTTACGGGTTCGATGTACTTAATATGAATCTTATTCATGTAACTCCTTTACTTTGGTATTATTCACTGGGCGCTAGCTCAATCTTATTTATATATATGTAGGTGAGTAAAGGGACGTTCAACCCCAGCCTTAGTGGAGTTTGAAAAAGGAACCCAAGTTTTTTGTGGAGTTAGCCCAAGTGCCTCACGCAAGAGGCTTTGTTTATGATCTCTTATATTTTCTTTTGTTATTCTCATTGCTCATGATAGACCATTTATGTGTATAAGCTTTAGTATAGCTGACTATGTGTTTGAATGATCCTGAGTGTACAAGATGTTAACTACTTATATGTGGTGTGAGTTATTAATAAGTATATGGGAAATGTTTTGATATTCCATGTAAGCACAGCTTACTGGACAAAATTTTTAAATCTGCTTTCGCGTCTAGCCCTATATTATTAATTTTAAATTGATTTCTGTTTGAGGCTGGAGGTAATCTCATGATTATTAGCCGGTTATGACCTTAATCTATAGGGGCGGGTTCGGGTCATGACAATAGCACTATGGCTTCATCATTTATGGAGAGAGAAGATTTAAGAAGATGGTGGCTAAAAAAATCTGATTGGTTATAGTACAAATATACTTTCATTCCTATAATCGTTGTATTTTGATCAGACGATATTGTGTTGTGGTAGGCTTTTGGTTTTGATGACTATATATCTATGACTTATCTATTTTTTGCAAGATCAATTGATTTACAAGGAGACCCTGTTGATATAGAAAAGGCAATGAACACAAAATTTGGTCGGAGATCGAGTAACCATACCTATAGGCTGCACAAACAATTCATGGAGCTGAAGGAAGCTAAAGAGGAGGAGTATGCAAAATATCACCCACTAAAGGATGTCGATCCTACCAAGTGGATAGATCTTATTGATAAAAAGTGAACACTAGAGATTTTTTGGTAACTTTTTCGTCTTTTTTATTGTATTAGCATAGAAAGAATTTGATTAGAATAGGGAGAGATTCAAAAAAAAAACTAGAAAGAACACAATCAATTTGCTGTGAAATTCCATATGTATTCTTTTCCCTTTATTTTCTAGGCATGTAAGTGGAACATAATAAAAACCAAATAAGTGGGAAAATGAGAAAGGGAAACCAGTAAACATGGATTGAAAGGCTCACATAATATCCTTAAAGTGCACCTTTCACATCTTAGAATAAAAAACTAAGATTTCAGTTTCTATGATTGTATTTATGTAGAAAACTTTTCTTTGAACCATAAAGTGCATGCTTTGAGTTAGGATAGTCAATCGTGTACAGCTACTGTAGAGTATTTGGCTTGGTGTGTACCTTTACTATTTCCTGTTTGTTCTTGGGTTTGGTCTGAAGTTTCATGATAATGGTAAGTGGCTAGCTGAGTAACTAATAAAGGGTATTGAGACAAAATTTGAGATTTGATAGAGTTGTGGAAGAAAGAAAAGGTTATGAGTTTAATATCAGTAATTGTTCCATATATTGTGAAATGTAAATGGGTTTTTTCACAATCTATCTTGCCCATGCTTGTATGCCCCCTATTTGTGAACGGTGTAAATTTCTCGTTTTTCTTTTTTCACCTAGAAAAACCATCTTATGATGAAGTCTCAATAAGTCCTCTAATCTATTTTTCAAAGAATTGAATGATACTAGTGAATAATTTGAAATATCTTTTAAGTTGAAATGATATATAGGAAAAGAATAGAGATGGACAATGCAATTCCTTCTAGGAATGTAACTAGTATCCTAGCATGTAGATTATTGAGTTTGGAACAGCATATTATGTGATAATTGGCATGCATCAGTTTTCAAATCTCATTTGATTGTGTAAATTTCTTATTACCAATAATGTGTCAAATCTGTCTTATCTAGGTGTTCAACATAATTTTGTGTATTGTGGTTGTGGTATTGTTGCTTTCTTGAATACTTTGCAGTTTGAACTTATATTGGTTTCCATATAACTTACCCTAACATTTTTATGTTACTTTATTATCAAGCATTAAATTTGTCTTAGTAATGATACATTTCATTGTTATATTAGTTCATTCTTCCTTACAGGAACAATCAAAAGCCAACATATTTGTCTTACTAATGATACATTTCATTGTTATATTGGTCATTCTTCCTTATAGGAACAATCAAAAGCCAACATCGCAAACAACGAAAAGATGAATACAAAACATAGGTGTGGTTCTAGGTCAATCCCTGTTAGAGCAGAAAAATTGGTATGTGTCCTTGCACTTTAAGAATTATATTAGATTCTTAGCTTTATTTATTGAATCTTTGGTCTATCAAATTAGACATGAGAAAAGAAGATGCTACCTAATCTAATAGAGTTTTACAAGGAAACTCACTATAATGAGAAAACATATAAGTGGATCTCGTCTAAAACTTAGGGTAATTATGTGAGTATATATTGCAATTTTTATTAACGAAATTTTAGAATATTATTTGTTATAATCTTATTTAATTTTCTAATAATTATTTAAGTTTTTAATATTTGATAGGAAAATATGATACAGACATAGGCTTATCACCTCTCACAACTGGGATCAATCCCTTTGACTGCAGAAGAGTTGTCAATCAAAGTCCTAAAGCCAAGGTATGGCTACATGAAGGGACTTAGCATGAGACCTTCATCCTCTATTAGGAGGACCACTACCATATATGTTGAAACAAATGATTATGTGAAATGCCTTGAGATGCAAATAGAGACACAGAAGGAACAAATACAAATGTAGAACAATAAAATAGAAGATCTTGAAGAGGGTAGGAAGAAGCAAGGGGAGATAATGGCAGATGTCATAAACTTTCTAAGGAGCAAAGGATTCACTGGACACTTTGGAAGTGGAGGGGACTCATCCACAAGTGGACATACTTCTTGGTAAAGTATATTAACTTTAATATAATAAATTTTATAAAAGAATATATGTTTGAAGAATTAAGAAGTAATGGAAACATGCATAGGACACCCAATTTGTATGTGAATTAGTTAAAAAGTACTTTTTTTCTCTATACTTAAAGCTTCAAAAAAGGCAGTCAAAAGGCTAAATTATCACAGAACCACAGATTTGTACAGGAACCAATAGAAACACCTTAGGAGGGACCAATATAAGTTGTATGAACTTACGACACATTAATGGGATGCTCTATTTGTGAATTAGCCTTAAAATTATTTTTTTGTTCCCATAATCTCGAAAAAAGTCTATTAGAGGGATAAATTGTATAATTGATCTAATTGCAAATTGATTAATTACTAAAGCTTTTAATTTACTTTTTTTGCAGATTGGATTAGGGTGCCATTTTTGACATGCAACAATGATCTAATTTGCTTGAATGTTCATTTTTGTTTGATAAGGATACACATACTTTGTCGAGTTGCACTAGTTATTGTTGGATGTTTGGTGGAATTGCACTAGTTATAACTGTTGGATATTTTGTAGATATTGCACTATTTTATTGTATTAGGATGAAATTATTTGTAATGATGAATGGATATTTTCATTTTGTTAATTCGTAAATGTGTTGATTTATAGCAGGTTAAGTTAAGTTGTGATGGAATTGTTATATTAAACATGTTTCAACATGAACAGGACTGTATTTGTTGAACCAAAATTTAGATTTTGATAAAATAGATATATAATGTGGAAAAAAGTAATATGAAATTAGTGACAAAATTTTTTATCCCTAAAGAAGGTTTTTTTGTCCTTTATTTGGCTTAAGTGAATGACTAATTTTGTCATGAATTCTTTATTTCGTCGTTAAATGAATTTGTCATGACGAAAAATATTGTCACATTTTGTCACTATTACCCTCAATGTGTGATGAATTTTTTTTGACATTATTTCATCATTTTTAATGATGAATTTGTTTAAAGTAATATGAAATTAGTGACAAAATTTTTTATCCCTAAAGAAGGTTTTTTTGTCCTTTATTTGGCTTAGGTGAATGACTAATTTTGTCATGAATTCTTTATTTCGCCGCTAAATGAATTTGTCATGACGAAAAATATTGTCACATTTTGTCACTATTACCCTTAATGTGTGATGAATTTTTTTTGACATTATTTCATCATTTTTAATGATGAATTTGTTTTTGTCTCTATTGGTAGCTTCTTTGACAAATTTTTTTCATCTTTGTTTATATTAAATGCGACAAAATTATTTTGTCTCTATTTCTTATATTTATGACAAAATATCTTTGTCTCTAATTTATTCCTTTAATGACAAATTTGTCGCTAATTACTTACAAGTATGTTACCAACAGAGTGTATTGGAGACAAAAAAAAATCGTCACATATTTATCCTTTTCAATGACGAATTTATTTTTTAGTCTCTAAGACCTTTTAGCGACGATGCTTTGGAGACAAAACGGGTGACGAAAACTTTTCGTCGCAATTAGTTTGGGTGACGAAATATGTACATTTTGGGACAAATTTGTTTCGTCTTTAAATCCCAAATTTGTTGTAGTGATTCTATGTAATAAAAGTGTCCTCTATTACATCCTTACTATCTCGTGAAGGGTGTTTGTAAATATAGAGAATTGTTCATCTTTTATAATTTTGCATCTCTCAATTTTGATTTTATTTGACTATTTTTGTCATAAGTTTTTGGCTCTTTTAGTTAGTTCATAAATGCTTTGAGGTTCAATCATATGATTTTTTATAGGAGAAATCTCTAACATGCACCCCTAAAACGGTACACATGATAAGAAAATTACAATTGTTTGTTATGAAAATTATGAATATTCATGGTGTATCATGATACTTATTAAAATTACAACTATTGAATTTATGATATGCACCCTAAAGTTATGAATGGTGAAGTTATGCCATTTTGTGGTGTGAAATTTTATGACATTTGGTGGTCTATGATACAAAATTTGGTGAAAAAGTTATGGAGTGCATACCATATGCACCCTTTTGGGAGTGCACATTGTAGCCTCTACCTTTTTTATAAAGTAAATAGAAAATGTTTATCTTTGTAAATATGCATAAAAATGTAGTGATTTATATAAACCTTAGCTCATAATATTTACAATTTATAGATATGGTAGTTATTGAGATTAATTATAATTACACGATAAATAAATAAATTTGTTGTTCTTTCATTGATTTTGTGGATTTCTGCCTATCTTCTGTACGTATGTATGCATCTATTTGTGAATGAAATTGTTGGCTTTTCATAACAATTGGTTTGTCTTCAACAAATTTCATAGGCAATGGTGCCATTCTTCTTCATTGATTTTGTTTGTAGTTGATAATTTGGCACTTTCATATTTGTCTTCCTTCTTGCTTATTTGGCCTGCTTATGCCTTACCTAATTAAGGGTTAAACGTAGATCTGCTTGTTCTGTTATCTATTTTCTAGTATATATTCATGCACATTGTTTTGTGCAGAGTAATACAACTATTGATTGTTTGCTTCTACAGTAGCATATAAATCTTTGTTTATTTTTTTATTCTTAACTTGTTAGGACCTAAGATGTGATTTATAAGTGTGGAAAATTATACAAATTAATTATATTAAGATGATACCAAAAATAAGCTTGTTTTTGCTTCAATTATACACTATTTTTTGAATGTCTTTTAAAGCCTACTCATCTCAAATTTCAATATCAGCTCAATTTCCTTACTGGATTCCTGGTTTGTGTTTAACCTTTGAAATTTAAAATATAAATGATATAACCAGTACTTACTATTGTGGAGATATTAGTGTGGAAGGAACATGAGAAAAATAAGGCAGTGGAACAAGTTTAAAGCCATTTCTTTCATAAGTTGTTTTGAAGATTGGATGTATGATAAGTCTTATTTTTATTGTCTGTTAATTCTTTGTGCAGGGAGTTCGAAATGTCAACTGGTTTCTCTCAAACTCCACTGAGATTAGTTTGGTGCAATGTTGCCCCTCTAATAGTCCCAAGTTTTCTAGGTATTGCATCAAGAGATTAGTTTGGAGAAGAGTGTGATATTGGGGTAGGCTAACCTTTTTCTATTGAGTGATCAATAGTTTTCTATTGGAATACCAGAACCATATAAGCAGTTTTTCTGAATTCTGGGAAATAATTGCACTATCACACAAATTTACCTCTTTTTTTTAATTAAAAAAAAATTGCCTATTGCTTGCATTTTCAATGCTTGTAGAATGGTAGGTAACACATGATAGACACATAACACTATTAATAGCGTTCAATACTTGGATTATATATTTTATTGTTCTTCTATTTGTTGGACATTAACATTGTTGCTTCTTTGGTATTGTGGATAGATTTCTAATAATAGTTCCATGAGATAAAATGATTTAGATGATTCAAAACATTCGGATTTTGGGAAGAAAATGAATGACATAATAATTTTAACAATTATTGGATGAAATTTGCAAAAACTAAAGTTCAAGTATGGCTGAATATCTGGAGATGAACTTTCCAGAACCAGTTCTATAGTTCATCTAATCAACTATTTTATGTTAATCTACATAACAGCTGATTTTTGGTGACCGCTCGAGCAATCATTTGGTCACTCTAGCGTAGATTTGTAGCCCCCAGTATCTCGCATGTTTGCAGGCGAGACTGCTCTAGCGAAGGAAATGTCACACCCTCAAAATACACAATAAAAATAACTCAAAAATGGAAGAATAATAGAAATAAAATACTTTCATTCATCAAAGTTCGATTACAAAAGTCAACACATGCGTTATACATTCATAAATATTCATCCTGAATCTACAACATGTGTTATAATGTTAAGAAAAAAGAAATTAAACATACAGCCAAATGCCCTATAGGCTTACATCTTCCCAAGTCATTACTTTGTTACACAAAAGTGAGCTTCGCTCATTACATCTTAAGCCCTTGGCTTTACAAAAAATATACAATCAAAACAAAGAAGCTCTTGCTACTAAATGTCCCTCCAAGCTATTGCCTTGGCGAAGGCACTCCACCAACACCTGAAAATGGTTTTCCCAAATAGGGTGAGTCACAACCCAGTAGGAATCATTTAACACTATATATGAGGTTTAAAAGAGACATTAGTACAAAGTGCATATACAATGCCTGTGGTAAAACTTTCACAAATTCGTGTAATCATGAGATGCCAAATTCAAATTTTAATCCATTTTTATTCAATTCATATTCAGTTCATTTATTTTTCTCAATTTATGAGTCAATTTCATTATTTATCAACAACCAAACTGAGACTACAACTCAATGGTTTTCCAATCATACAATGCACACATATAAACACTTCAAATTGCCATTTTATAGATATTTCATTCGCGGGATCGGCACCCATATATAAATTTCGAGACTTTCACCCAGGACACTCCGGCCAACTTAATTATAATGGAGTCCATCCCTTTTCTTATAACGACTCGGATTTTAAATTCACATTGGATTGATGTATAGTGGTGCCTGTCACCTTAAAACTTGTATGGTTGTTGGACTCTTGATATTGATGGGTTGGCAAGTGAACTTTAAATATTATAATTGAAGACCCTTGGATGATGTTTGGAACCTTGATTGAAGCCTTAACAAGATATATAGATAAGATTAGATAAAAAGTCCCAAATTTGAGTTTGAATTTTTTACCAGCCGTCACTCTTTTGCCCTTTTCTCCTTCCATACGTAGAATTTGAATGTGAGGTTGGAACCATTGGAAAGCTTATTTCTGGGGCTTCAATTTGGACACAAGAACGACCTACAACGAAGTCCCGATGAGAGAGTTATACCCGTTTGAAGTTTTTACATCTGTGCTGGAGGTAGAGCCGCACGTGCGGGGAATAGCGCCGCACGTGCGGGCTGTGCAGGACAGCAGCTCAAAAACGTGATTTTTGGACCATTTCTTACGTTTTCTTTTCCTCTCTTCTTCTTCCCTCCATTTCTGAAACCATAGCTCCCAAAACTTTGATTTCTCCCACTTTTATCAACAAATCAACCATGGAGAACAAGAGAAGATCAACATTTTCTACCGATTGGGATTTCGAAATTTTGGAGGAACCTCATCAAAGCTTGCTTTTCTTTCTTGAATCTTGAGGTAGGGGTCCTAGTTCTCCTTCAATGCTTACATTAATAGATAGATTTGTGGTATTTTGGAGTATATAAATGCAAAATCTACATGTTGAGCATATAGGGTTATATTATGGAAATTTGGGGATTTCGGATTTGAAGAATTTGGGGTTTTATTGTTGGGTTTAGATTATGGATTATGAACCTAGGATATATAATCAAGGGGAAAATTGGAAGAAAAAATAATGGGTTAAGAAGTTTGAATTTTTCTTGAAATTTCTAGGTTTTTCTAGAAACCCTAGGTTGATTTTTGATGATAATCAATTATTTGGCCCAAATTGAAAGTTGAATCATGAAATTGGTAGGTTGAATTATCTATGTACAAGTTTAATTGGAATTTGGTTATGTTTGAAAATTATGTTTAAAATTTGCGAATGAATTTTGTTATGAGCAATGTAAATCATGTTATAATGAGAAGGAAATTGGG